GTGAGGGTCATGTTCTTTGACTTCTCCAATGTTTTCAACACAATCCAGCTGTCACTGGTGAGGGGGAAGTTGGAGGGGGCAGGTGTGGACCAACACCTGTCCGCATGGACCATTAACTACCTCACAAACAGACCTCAGTTTGTCAGGCTGCATGACTGTGTGTTGCATGTGGTGGCCTGCAGCACGGTGCTTTCCCCCTTTCTGTTCACCCTCTACACGTCGGACTTCGGGGGGCGGGGGGTGAGCGGGAATACAGGGGGATTGTTACTGACTTTGTGAAATGATGTGAGGAAAATCGACTGGTCCTGAACACCAGTAAGACTAAAGAGATGGTGATTGATCCCCGGCGGAAATCACCAGCACTCACTCCAGTGAGCTTTCAGGGCTCAGTCATTGAGATTGTGGACACCTTTAAATACCTGGGGGTCCACCTCAACAACAAAATGGATTGGACTGAAAACACTGATGCCCTGTACAAGAAGGACCAGAGCCGCCTCCACTTGTTGAGGAGACTGAGGTCTTTTGGTGTGCGGGGGGCACTCCTTCAGACTTTTTATGATACTGTAGTGGCATCTTTTGTTTTTTATGCTGTTATGGGCTTGGCGGAAGGTAGCACGGACAAGGACAGAAAGAAACTAAACAAGCTGGTCAAGAGACCAATGTCCCCATTACCATGGGGACCACTTGTGCCTTCACCTTCCACATCTTTTCTAGCTCTTCTTTCAGCCCTTGGTATTTCTCGAGCTTCTCGTGTTCCTTCTTCCTGATGTTGCTATCGCTTGGGATTGCTACATCTCTCACTACAGCCTTCTTCTTCTGTTTGTCCACCACTACTGGTCCCCGTGGTAATAGGAACACTGGGGGCTGTGACCCCCAAACTGGTAGAGTGGCCCAAAGTGTGGCTGAGTGGGGAATTAATTATATGTATTATATATATATATATATATATCACTCTTAGTTTTACTACCATTATCATGAGTTTTTCTCCATGACTTTGCCTCAATGTCCAAACAAATCTAACATTCTCTGCAATATTTAGGTTGTTGCACAACATCACAGCATCAGTCTTATAAGTCTATATAAATAGAAATTATTTAGGGCATTTAAGAGAATGATATAGCCTATAGAAAAGAAGGAGAAAGATGGAAAATAAGAAAAGAATTATTTCACTGTTCACACCATCACATGCTCAAATTTGTTCATGCTGTTTTCAAAATATGTGAAGCCACAGTTATGAATTCTGCATGCATAGGATTCACACACCTTCACTTTTTGCACATTTTAAAGTGCAACTTTTTCCACTTCAAATTTTCAATGCTGTAAAATATGCAATAAATGAAGGGGTGGGAAGGTGTTCAGAAGTGACCATATTGAAACACTGGCCAAAGCTATTGAGAAAACCTGGTTCAGATTAATTAATTGCCTTTGTTTTTAAAGAACATAGAAAGATGACAAACTATGAAAACCTGTTGGAATCATTTCAGAGCCAGGTACACTAGAGTAGAGCTACAAATTGCCCTCTTTCCTAAATTTTCCACATTGCCAACTGTACATAAAGAACTGACACGGTACAGCTCCTCATTGTCTGGAATCTAATATGAAGCACTAAAAGTATAGTTATGTAAATTATTCCCTCATGACTGAAACGGTACAGTTAGAGTAATATGTTGGGATGGGCAAAGGGTCCTGGTGATGACACAACACTCTCTCTTCTAAGTGCACGCCTTATATGTATTTTCTCTCTGTCAGTTGCGTAAGAATGACATGTCCATTGTTGGTTGGAATTCCTGGTCCGAGCAAATTTAAATCTGAGAGGTTGCCTTGTTTGCATTGAATAAGCCTGGGAAGAAACTACCGAGTAGGTTTGAGATTACAGACATGTTGCCATAACAACAAGGCATACCTTCGAAGAACCAACAGATCCAGCATCGTGTGAAACTGTCAGCAAACCCGGCTAACCTGTTAATCCACATATGAAGAACACCACCCAGATGTCATGTTCTTCTTACATTCTGCAGCACTTTTCCATTTTTGCATTTTAATTTTGTACATTATTTACTTATTTCAACAGATTTTAAGTCAGTATCATTTTGTAAAATGATATCAACCTGCATGACCTGAAATTACATTTAGCTGCTATAAAATATTTTTTGCAAGTCCATAAATTTTCATGAATTTCAAAACATATGAATCTCAGTGGTTCAAAGTTTTTAGGATTACTCTCTTTAAACTGATGGGGTTAAAGTTCGGAAAGGTTTTGTAAAAAGATATTGTAATACTCAGCATGGGGAAAGATGATCCAGGACCAGGAGTGAAAGAGACTTGAGAGGGATGAGAATTAAGTCACCAGATAATTTTTTGTCCTTTTTTCTCTGCTTTTTGTTGCTCTATGAATTTTATAAAACAATTTCAAATGTACACCTGTGTCGCTGCTGATGAAAGTGAGAAGGTGTGTGGAACTGGCTGGTGATGACTGCCATCTGCTGGAATTCATAATGAGTGAAACTGGAAAGTCCATCTCACATAGAGCTTCATCATATTATGCAAATTTCAGTCATCAAATGATACAGCTGCATGTAAATCCAAGGATCTGTGATATTAAAAGCCATCAGAATATTACATTACATCCCTGTTCTTTGAGCCATATTTTCCCATTTTACAGGACACCCACACTTTTAATGGGCACAGAGTGGTTACTGGGTGGGGATGAATTGGGCAAGATCCCATCAGAGCAATTGGTGATGGTTACATGTGTACATTTTTACAGAGATGTACAATGCCTCTCTCATAACCTAGAGTAATTGCATTATAAACTACTGCATAATTATCACAATAAAATATTGTGATTGTTTAAACAGTCACTGATACCTATAATAGTTTACCCCCACGCTTGGGCAATTTGGGGGTTGTTTGGCCTGATCTTTAGAAGTCTGAATGTGCTCCTTTATTATGCTTTTTTAGCCCCCAAATCAAGTCTATAAGCAATCCTTAGTGTGTCTTGCCACAGTGTTTAGCTACCAAGCACCATAAACCAACACAAATCAAATCAGAAATTGCTATCTTTAAAAATGATTGTCTGTGATCCAATCACTTTAAGGCAAGGTTTGTCTGAGAAGAGAAATTAATATGAAAGGAAGCGTTACTCTTCTACTTACATGTTTGTTGAGACTGAAGCTTGATCTTTTTATTTAATTTGGCTCCTAAAAGTGGTTCTGATTATTTTCATGCGGCAAGCTGCTTACATCAGCAAGCATTCTACCAGTTTGACAAATTTATGCAAATAAAGCTCTCATAAATATTGTGATGATTGGTTAAATGTTTTTTTTAATCACATAATTGAGAATTATTTAAGGAAGTCATATTATGGATCAACTGACCTATAATGCTGTAATGAGTGCCTGGCTTCACTTAAAGGATAAGGATGGTGATTTTCTGTGTTTTAGTTATTTTCAAAACATTGCATACAGAGATTAAACCCAACTAATGGTTTTGTGTAATCACTGAGACTCTAAAACCTGGCTTGGCTTATTCAGCTGTGCCACAGAACTCTATTGTTGACCAAAAACTATTACAAACACACCAGTGAGCCACACTGCTGCAATGAATGTCATGGTTCTTCATGGTAAAAAACTGCGAAGCCTGTACTTTATGCGCATGTGCAGTTGACTCTTTCTTACTTCAGAGACCATAAGGGATGGCTGTTCTTAGCCTTTGGAGCTCTTTTTTTGAAAAAAAGACAGAATAAACATGTCACCCAGTAAGTACAGTGGTATGGTTTACTGATGTGCGTGTGTGTTTTTTTAAGTTTCTGGACAAAAATGGAGATTTAAGGAACAGACAAATAAGAAAAAACAGGTTCTGGACTCAAAGACATTATATGAGTTCACCAAATTCATTGTTGGTTTTAGTTTCTGTATGCAATGTTTAAAATAACCACATCAAACGCAGAAAATCACTAGCCTTTTTTGATAAGTCCTTTTGTCTCCAACTGTGATGTTGCATTTTTTCTGCAGCCACCTACGCTGCAGCGGTTCTATTTCGAATTTCGGAGGACAAGAGTTCAGACTACCGGAAAAGAGTGTCAGTGGAGCTCACACATTCACTCTTCAAACATGACCATGCTGCCTGGGAAATGGTAAGAACTCTCTGTGTATGAGTATGAGTATGTGTACCTTGGTATTGCTATGAACATGTGTGTGTGTGTTTCTTTCACAGAAACAGTGGTGCCATATTGTGCAATATATTGCTCATTACCACCTTTCTCTGTTTCTCTCAAGGGCCATACTACTGTTCCTTTGGAGCCTACCTACCTAACTGATGGTGAGTACTTTGGTTTAAATGGAGATACTCCCAAAAGACTGTTTTAGTGTAACTACAGTACATAGACACAGATTTAACTTTAGTGGCTGCAGTGAGGTTTTAGCATCTTACTCACTTCAGGGCATATGATTGGTCATACGATCCAAAGGCCAACCTAACTGTGCCATTTCTTTAATCAATGAAAAAAAAAAGTATTAACTTCGCTTATTTTCATTGTTTTTGTCATAGTTTCTATTAGTTATTGAAACACTGTAATCCCCATTTTACTGTTAACATGGGAATTTCAGAGTATCTGTGTCCAAATACAGGGGGATAAGAAACGTTACTCCAGTTATCTCAAATACTAAAATAAATAAATTATAAACAACTTGTTGTACAAACAGCAATTTGTGGACAGCAGATTAACCACAAAACAGCCAGTAGTTTCATTTTACAAAATAAAATTAGCTAAAGCTACAGTATATTAAATTCCTGGGGACCCACATCTCAGAGGATCTGTCCTGGACCACCAACACCCGCAGCCTGGTCAAGAAGGCTCACCAGCGCCTCTTCTTCCTGAGGACTCTGAAGAAGAACCACCTGTCTTCAGCCATCCTGGTGAACTTCTACTGCTGTGCCATCGAGAGCATCCTGACCAGCTGTATCACAGTCTGGCACGGGAACTGCTCTGTCTACGACCGCAAGGCGCTGCAGCGGGTGGTGAAAACTGCCCAACGCATCACAGGGACTCCACTTCCAGCTACTGAGGGTGTCCACAGGGAATGCTGTCTCCGATGTGATCACAGAATTCTTAAGGACCCGTCTCACCCTGCTATCAAACTGTTTGACCTCCTACCCTCTGGGAGGTGCTTCAGGAGCCTCTGGACCAAAACCAGTAGACTCAGGAACTGCTTCTTCCCCACAGCTGTCTCCTTACTGAACTCTGTCCCCTGTCGACCCCCCACTGCCTTCCTCTGTACCTCTTCACACAGCTCCCCCCTTCTCACCTCTCCTCTCGGGACTAACGCAATACACTTCTGTTACCTGTATCACTGAAGTGATCTGTTAATTTGCACATTCTCTACTCACAGGATACTGCTCTGTATTCATTTGCACACTGTTCATATCCAGATACTCCACATTTATCTTTATCTTTACACTATTTACATCCATTGAACTGTTCACTCATGTAACTTATCTTCTTATTCTGCACTGTTTCATCCCATTGCACTAGTGTTCCATAAGCTTAATGTACCTGTCCATTACTGTAATTTGAATCCATAGTCTGTTGGACATCATACATTACCCTATATATCTTACTATAAATATCAGTTGACATATCTATTGGTAAGTTAGTTCTGACTGTTCATACTGTAGATACTACGCACTCTGCACTGCTGTTATTGCACTTTTGGTTAGATGCTAAACTGTATTTCATTGTACTTGTACATGGGTAATGACAATAAAGTTCTGTTTGAACTCCGTCCCTCTGGACTGCATTACAGGTCACTGTGAATCAAGACAACCAGTCATAAGGACAGTTTCTTTCCTCAGGCTGTCACTCTGATGAACACTTGACCCACGACAGTTTGACTGGACAATAGCCTTCAATGCAATACCTGTAAATATACATTGTACAGATTATACAGAGCCGTACAGGTCTCTATTTTAAGTACTCAATTTTTTTCCTATTTATCTCGTTTCACAATGAGCATTCCCTTGTCTGTCTGCATTGTTTACTGCCTGTTAATACGCCTTATTTTGTTATATGTTATGTTGGTTTACTGTTTACTTGCCCCTTGCATGGGGATATATACTGTACATACACATTGAGAGCTGATGTACCAGAGTCAAATTCCTTGTGTGTCCGACACACCTGGTCAATAAAGCTGATTCTGAGATTCTAATCTAATCTAATCTAATCTAATCTAATCTAATCTAAAGCATTGGTCTTTGCTTTGCCTTTGCCATGGCTGAAATAGATCCAGGTGCTGGGTACAGTAATACTACAGCCAGCACTTGTTACCTAACCCTCTTATTGGTTAATAATTAATCATGTGACTTATTTCTCAACAGGAAGCACTACTAACTATTATTTTTACCCTCTTTGGGGTGATTTGCACCCTAAAGAGATGTTGAGAAGTGATCTAAAAATGTCTTAAAAAGTCTTAAAAGAAAGCCACTGAAACCTGCAGATTTTCCTGTCATATCATGTCTGTATGTTAATTAGGACTTTGTTCACATAGCTCAACATAAGCCTCTTTCAGAAATGCTTCATTTGACAGGAACTTGTCTGCTATTTCACAACTGAATAAAACCCAAGCCCTTACGTAACCGGCAAGGTGTTATTGGCAATTCCGTGCCCCAACCTAGTCAAACAGCCAGCTGCATTCTAACTGGTTACATGTCTGAAATGAATCTCAAATTTCCAGTAAAGGCATGCTCAACAGCATAACACAAGACATTTTCTCTATTTCGCTGCTTTGTTCACACTAATGCTGTTCCCTCTCTTCATTTGCTTTCTAGCTCTTTTGACCACTGCTCTCTTTCTCTCTCTCTCTTCATGGTGTATATTTCGGGCATCAGTGAAATTGTTGCATATACATAAAAAGTACATAACATCACTAGTAAGGACAAAGTTTATTTTGGATTCTTACAGAGAAGATACGGTTTATCAGTGTGAGCTATGGATTTTATTTTCCCCTCCATTATGGCAAACTGTCCAGGCCCAGAGGCAGCAGAGCAGCCCCAAATGATGATGCTCCCTTCACTTCAATTTAGTGTTTGGATGATGTTTTCATTTTGGTACGTTATTTCCTTTTCTTCTCAAAAAATTCAACCTTAGTTTCATCAGTTTGCCAACAGTATTGTGGAGTGTCAAGGTGCTCTTCGAAAACATGAGGCAGTGTTTTTTTTTCTTCTTTTTTTTTCAACAGCATCAAAACTCTGTAAAACATGATGTTTTCAGCTTTCATATCAAGGGTGCATTGCTGTCTCTGGGCCAGGACAGCTTGCCATCATGGAGGGACTTCACTTATCTGACTTCATTTGTGAATTTCAAATGAAGATCAGATCACATTTTATGTCCATGCATCTTTTTCTTGCCGCCATACATCTATTAACAACCCTGGAGGTCACTAATTAACATGTACCACACTTGTTTAACCCATCTACAAACATAAGTGCAAAAAGGGTAAATCATATCTCATCCACAGCTCATTACATTTTGATAAAACATGGAATTACAGATTACTTGTATGTTCTGGAAGATGTAAGCTTTATCTGGAAAAGATGTTAAGTTGAACAGGTTTTCTCTGTCACTGTGTCTCAGATTTAGATGGCTCTTACCCTCCCTATGGCTACGCTGATCTGCCTCTGGACACCCTGCCGTTAGACCCAGACCTCCACGACCCCTACATCCCTGACATGCCCTATGATCCAAGACAGGCCTACCCTGAACCACTCTAACAGGTAACACACATAAAACACTCAGGCATTTATAGGTTGTTTTCTTAATTTAAATTAAGTGTTTTTATATAGCAGTTATAAAAATCAACATTTACAAAGTGATTTACAATGGGGCAAACATAAGGCTATAAAATACATTAAAAATATTAATGAAAAGTATAAGCACATATACAAACAGATAACAAATGTCGGCTTGATGTACCTGTGCCCTTACTAGAAAAGCTTCTTCATTGACAACTGCTTACTGACTGGTGGTTCTATAATCCCAAAATGTAAAGAAAACTGGTTTAACAATTGTTTTGCTTTTTGTTGCAGGAGAGTAGGAGGAAGAAAGACTGGAGCAATGGATGGATGATGGAGATCTGAGGTTTTAATCAACAAAAGAGTTGCTTATTAAAAAGACGTTTATTGTTGTTGTAAATGAGAAATGTAACTTTGTTATAATGTTTTACTGTGGGTGAAAGTAGGCAGTATCTGAAGTTTTGAAGCATTATTACATGGGTAAATTTTTGAAGCAATCAAATTAGGTATGAATGCTTTCCATTGACAGTTTGAGACAATGAGGGACAAGCAGGTGGAATTAAATCAAATTCAAATGATAATCTTTATCAAATGTTTTAGCATTTTATCTGTAAAGGTTTAGAAAGAAGTTGGAAAATATTTGAATTACCTGAAATGTTAGCACAATAAATTGTGCCATCAGTTGTGATATAAACAGATTTAATTTTTTCCACGTGTTTATCTCATCTGAAAAACCCAAATTTGTTAGTAAGAAGGTCTATTAAATTATAGATAAACATAGCTCCCAGTTTAACAAAATTCATTACTGACATCACAAAAACTCTCTAAAACACTATAAAACTATTTTTCAACTCTGAGATCATTGCTTGAAAAACACCCAGCACTGAACAGAAATAGAATTTCGCCGTTGCTGGCATTACTGCCTTTCATCATTGCTACCAAATGCTACCCGTGTATCCCAACCTTAAGCTGCTGTCTTTTAGATGTCTCCTCTGTGTATTTGAACAGTGCACATGTCCCAGGGTGTCCATGTGTGGTCATTGCATGGTAGTATATGGTGTATTCATTAAAATATTCTTTACATAATAAGAAAAAAAAAAAGACATTGTCATTTTACAAGCCATTCTCAACTATGCCAGCCATTTGGAAAACTTTAGTGTGGAAATGGACTACAAATCCCACCATGTCCCAGCATCACTCTCACCAAGCGTATATTCTACTTAAATGTCCATAGGAAATGAACTGCAAATGCCTTTGGCATCAAGTCCCACTATTTTCCAGACCTACCTACAATAATTAGACCCACATTTCTACAGTGGAAATGGACTGCAGCTCTTTGATCAGCTTGCACACACCTTTGTAGGTGCCATGGAGTACATTATAGAGTGAATTTACAACAGTACTCACATTGTGCTCACAGTATTTTCTAAAGATTAAGTATTTGACTAAAGTGAAGCTGCATTTGGAATGTGGAAAGTTGTTCTGTGTACCAGGGGCAATTGTGCTTGTGGTTTCAAGACTGCTGTTGTTGGTTGCAATACTTAACTAACAGCAACAGTTGTAGTCATGTTAAGAAAGCACTGCACTGGTTTATCACTTGCCGTGGCGATACTGTTCCTGAATCTAAATGTCATTAAATTGTGTTATTTTGAACTGTCTTTATTTATTCTACTTGCATGGAAGATGATCCAGCAACTATGGAAGATTTAAAAGGCCCAAGTCAAACAACAAAATAGAATTCACATTGCCATATGCAATTACTTTTTATGTACATATTGACTTTTCTATAATTAAATGAAAGCATGTGTTGAAAGGACACTTATTTTTGTCTAAATGAATTGCTTACATCAATAAATAAATAATTTTTCACTGTCACATGAATTTTATATAACATAATAAACTCCAATCCAAACATTTAAATCAGAAATACAACAAAATCTGCAGGCGGAAGTACTATCCCTCCAGCTGGGTGGCCCACAGAAAACTGTTTTGATGTGAAATGCTGTTTGACATGGCTGCCAATGTTGTATAAGTGATAATAAGCTTTGTTCATGGCTCTGCGCACACAGTGAATAACTATTTATTTGGTTATTTAAGACAATTGGCTGAATAAGTGTTATTTAAAGATATAGTTTCATTTAATTATGACATATTAAATGCATACACAACATGAAAATACATACACATACTGTATCTATCTATATATATATAAAATTTTCAACTTTTTAAATTTACTTTAATGTAGGCACTTAAATCTTCCATAGAATTCTACCTATCACTGCAGAAAAGAAAAATTACAAGGGTTTTATTTTCTTAGCTCTGGGTCTTGTAATTTATTAGATCTTGCATCACAGACAAAAAAAAAAAAAAAATACTGTAGGTTCAGTAGTGCCAGAAAAGTAAGAAGTCAGTCCAGAATAAGTAAACCGTTTCAACTTTTATTATCATCTAGCTGCGCATGCTTGTTGCCCTGACATTTTTTAGAGATGTTACCTTGATCCCAGATTATAAAAACTACTGTCAATAGTACACATGACCAGAGCTACTAGAATGAAACCAAAGTTGCAGAGGTTTTTCTTTAAAGGACAGACTGCTACTTTTACCAATATCATAGAGCCCTCTACTATCTGTGTTCTACAGACGTGGTTACATTTTGGGCCTTTCACATTACAGTCGTAATGGGCATGTTAGTCTGAGACTTTCAGCTGATTAGAAAGTTAGTGTTATTGATATGTATACTGACAGAATATAATAATGGATATATTCAACAGCTCCCTAAATCCCACCCAAATGTTATCTCCAAAAATACTAAGTTGAAATGGGCTGAGAACCAAAGCAGTGAAACTTTCACTGTGTACTGGACACCTACCAGCCCTAGGCTTGTAAGAGCCCTTTTTCACTGCATGAATTTCACATAGATACTAGGTTTTCTATTCACCAGAATATATCAAACATATTTTATTAAGAAGGCAACAGAAGCCACTGATATCTTTTGATGATCTGAATCAAATCAAAATACGTCGCTTTTTTGTTTTCACCGACTGTATGCATTGTGACATTTATTTTTCTATTTTCTTGTTTGAACTTTCATTATTTCCATCTGCACTGTTCAGGTGTGTGTTATATTCTTGTGTATGCCCAGATGCTGAAAATATACCCCCCTCACCACCACCACAATACAAAATAATTCATTTCCATGGGGCTTCTAGACTGTCCATAATAATGAGTGATTTTGGTGACACTACTGTCTAACAGTGATGTTATTGAATAGCCTATTTTTACCAATAAAAATTGACCAAAATGATACAAAAGCATATTTTTTCCAAACTAAGGGTTGTGGTACAATCAGCAGATAGCCATAATGTGTGAAGTGATTTTAGCAACACTACAGTATATGAATAAAGTTACTGAATGCTTTTCCCAATAACAATTCCCCGAAATTATGAAAAAACACATTTGACCTAACTAAGGGTTTTAGTACAACCAGCAGATGGCCAATGACGTGTACAGTAATTTTGGTAATGCTACACTGCGTAAGAGTCAAGTTATTGAATATTTTTGTAGTAGGCCTGTCTCTTTTCATTGTTGCACTTTGTACATGGTTCTTGCACACTCGTCTCACAGCTGTGGCACATTAAGACCAGTGTTATTTGTCTGGAGCAGAAGATAGCTCATTTTGATAAAAATGAGCTTGTAGCTTGTTGTCCACGTTACTACAAAACAAAAGAGGCATTGCTTGTATTCTAGCAGCATTTCATTATTGATCCAGAAACTTTGAATCTGTGAATATCTTTCCAACTTTATAACATACCGTTGTCTGCACACTGACCAACAGCTATCGTGAGCTTTATATCATCCCTCCCTTTCAGTAGGTCAAGCAAATCGTAATGATCCAATATGATTTCACTCCAAAGATAATGCACATGGGTTTGCTCAAATATTGGTAGGGACATTTCTGACCTCCAAAATATTAGTAGGGACATGTTCCTACCATCCACATGCAAAATCATGCCCTTGCAGGAAACTTTGTGCCCAGCAATTGTTCTTTACTGTTCTTTTATTAGTTATCCTTGCCCTTGTTGCTGTTGTGTTTGTTATAGTCATCTTTGTAGCATTGTGATATCACATCTGCTTGATTAATTCCAATCAGTGGAAACACAAGCAGAACCTGGAACAATGGAATAATTTTGTTCCTGCAATGTTAAAAAGCATCCTGGGCCTCCTGCAGTCTGCAGTTTAAGTCAGTCCAGGACTAAGAACATGATCAGCTCTAATTTTAGACTAGCTTTAGATATTGCATTTCAAAAATTAAAACAGGATAATGTTAGAGGAACAAGAAAGTCTAAGGGAGGATTTGTAAGAATCATAAGTTCACTAAAAGTACAGGTAAATGTTTTTTTTTTGTGCAAACTGGCAAGAATCCTAAAGGTTAGTCACAGATCAGTAGTCAAATCTGAAATCTTGAGGGTATACTATATACCCATTCCCTGTTATTTCATGTAATCAGTCAGTCAATGTTCAGCAACAGCCCTATTTTATACTGGCTTCTTCATCACATCATAATGAGAGATGCTCTTTTGTATCCTAAGGTATCTACAGGTATTACTTTGTAACTGTTTACTGAACTGTGTGTTAACAAGGGTGTTAATGGTTGTACTACTGAGAGAGCAAAGTAAAGCTACAGAGGGAGAGAGAAGTTTCAAGATAGGGAATGTGGTCAATGGTTTTGTTAATTAAGAAGAAAATCCTAATTTATGTTTTGTTTTGTTGTGGGTTTTTTTCACCTGATAAAAATAAATTTTCAAGAGCACTTTACAGCATGACCTAACCTTTATTCATTCAGGGAAAAGACCAGTTGAGAGCGAGCTCTTATTCAAAATGGTGACTTGACATACAATTAACACTTTCAAAACCTTAGTAAACATATACATGTGAATCAAATCAAATCAGTATTAAAAAAAAAATCCAAAATCACAAGACACACATAAAAAGCAATAAAACCCAGAATCCTTTGATGATTTGGAAGATTCTTGAGATAGTCTTCTCAGTGACTTTAATTACATGGTTAAAATTAAGCCCTAGTTGTTTGTGGTATTAACGTGACTTTATCTGGACTAACATATTGCAAGAAGCCCTCCAACCTATATGACCCATATGGTCATTTGTCCCTTCCCTCTCATACAACTCATAGGGGTGTCTCATTAAATAGCACCCCTACTGCTGTGGGGGAGAATTGCAACAATTCCGCCAAAATTAACAATGATGTATGTTGCACTACAAAGCTTTATGGTCCTTTGTCATCATGGAGACGGCCCTAAACATGATGGCTAGCTAGCAGCAAGCTACTGGAACTCTGCTGGATCGAAACATTGCACTTGGTTAGGTTTAGAAAAAAAACTACTTGGTTAGATTTAGGAACAAAAAAAGTTGTTGGTTAGCTTTATGCACAAAAACTACTTGATTATGTTTAGGAAAAAAACAACATGGTCACATTTAAGAACAAAACCATGTTATGTTTAGGAACAAAACTCTTGAAAAACACAAGCCACATACTGGGATTGAACTCAGCTCACCTGAGAGAACAGGAAAAACAAAAATTAAAGCAAGTGGAAATGTTCACAGAACACATTTCAATACGGGATTCAATAAAGTTGGCCAGACTCTTGCTGGAGGTTGTCTGAGCACATCAGCTCCCAGTCAACAAATGGGAATGTCATCTTTATGCTTTGACCATATTCTTAGAAAACAATTTGCCCAACAAGTTGAAAGGTCATATGACACTACATTTCCTACTAGCTTAAGCTGATGAACCCTTCAGCAGCCTCACATCAGGAGATTCTTGAGGGAATTAAATGATGTTGGTCACATGACCAATGGTGTGACAATAAGCAAAGGTAGACAAGCTAGCATTAGTGATATTCATGCTGCATGCTTATTCATTGGCCCTGATTATTTTCTGTAGAAGTAATAGCCTAGTTTGTAAGGATATCAAAAAGTAGCATACAGATACCCCAGCAATCTGTTACTGTCAGGTGACCCTTGCCCTGCAGGATGTAGCAGACCATTAAGAGTATATCCCCACCCCACCCCCACCCCCCATCTTTATTCAGGACTATTCAGAACATTTCACTCAAAGCCTAGTTGTCTTTTGCAGGACCACATTGGCCACATTCATGCACATTTACGCCTGAAAGCTGCCTAGTAGAACCACACTCTTGACTTGTGGCCACTGGGATAAGGGCCTTGCTCAAGGCCATCTCAGTGGTAATGAAGAAGGGTCATAGAGAAATTACAGGTTAAAACCAGGTAGAAATGGGTCAAAGATAACAATTTCACTGTAATTTTGAATTGTTCTTAATGGTGCCATCAAAATAACTTGAAAGATGCTATGATCATAAAAAAATGTAGACATGGTGGCTTTAGTGTACAATAAAATATAAGATGGCTTCCAATGATACTAACGGTAAGGACTCTGCAATGTTTGATAATCACCCTTTCTGTGTTAGCTACTACTACCAAAATTAGAAACCATTTAGACAGAGCCTAAAACTGACATAAATATATGCAGTTGCTAAAGCCAGCTAGCTGTATGTATGTCAGCTGAGCAAAACATCCATGTCAGGGTTTATGACACATGTCAAGGCACATGTCATGACACCATGTATGTATGTTGAGAACTTAGCAGAGGTCTCTCTCATTGCAGAGTATGTTAGGGTATATAAATTGATATTGGGATTCAACATCAGCTCATTAGGCTCTGGGGATTACAACTGATCACAGCTTTATAATGCTAACAAAGCTTCACATCTCAGAGTAATGTCAGAGTAATTTTTTGAGAAATTATGTGATCTGACCACATATTCAAAATCTAAACAGTTTTTTCCCAAAGTGTTGTTGCATTCTGAATCACTCATATCCAGCTGATGTCTGTTCAGACATTTAGGAAGCACAAGTAGCCCTGACCAGTATGCTCAGTATCATGGACCTGCAATGGTTGTTCATCAGTTTAAAGTTTGTGGTCTGCTAGCTGTCAGAGTAAAGCCAAAACTAAAACAATGCTTTCTTGTTGGGTGATATTAAAATTCTTACTCCAGCAATCTCTTCCATGACCACACTGAGAAACTGCAGCACCACTGCTTGACTTAGTCCAAGCCTTTGGCTGGAGAGGAGGTGTGAATGCCCTTTTGGTAGGATACTGACTGGGTACAGTTACTCTTAGAAAATGTTAATTCTAAAAATGCTGTTTATTACCCAACTGAACAATCAAGCAGAACGTGTTGGAAAAATGAAGTAAAATGATTAGAAATTGTGTAGAATATGTTAAAGAGAGCACATTAAATCTTAATATGCATTTTAATAAAAACTAATGTTTCAAAGCTTTTTAAATTTCAAAGAAATGAAACAAACCAGCCTACATTTTCCTGTGTTTTCAATATACTTCACTCTTACCATGTCTTTCACACAAAGGCATAATGATTATTAAAATATCATTATTATTTCACTAATGTTAAGTAACAGTATTACTTTGTAGGATGGCAACTTACTAATTTTGAAGTTACTCACACAAAGTATCTGCATAAACAAAGATTTAGTCTAATATACAGTCAGGCTCATACAGCAACTATTTGGACACACACAAACACACACACACGCCCAAAAGGGTGCAGTGCTAAACTTGTGTCTAAACTCTAGGCACAAAGTGAATATGGACGTGTTCAACAGTGTTTTGCAATTTTGGTGACCATAGGTGCACAGCCAGTTGTTACTGGGTACATCATGGAGGAGAGGCAGAATACATTATTAGAGGGAGAAATACATGGCGAGCAGGTGGAATCAGGCCTTGTGTTAGTTATGTCCAATAAAACCAGCTCCTGTCATCTTCTTTAAAGAGCAGGGCAAAAACCTGACTGGCTGATGTCACTGATGTCAGGACAAGGAAATACTGTAAATGTTTCTCTGTAATTTCTTCTCCTGCCAGTTATGTACTCCATTCCTAGATTAACAGTGACAAAACTATTTATGTTGAAATACTGCACATAAATATTCACCCAGCAGTCTGCTCGCTTCTGTGCATGGAAGATAGAAAGTTTCTGATCTTGTAACCAGCTGCAATTATATAGTCTGATATATTCACAGCTGCATCCAGTGCATGAAATCCATGGGGGTCTTGCATTTAACTTTTAAAATGATTCACTGTTTTTAAAATAATACAATACAATGATATAATGATTGCATTTATGGTGAAACAGAATGTGGTTCATTAAGAGTGCACAGCCAGTGGATGTGTCACCCACTTTATCTCCACCTACAGCTGATCAAACCACCATAAAATGCAAACATAGACACAACATACTGTATATTCGCACAGTAATGA